GCAGATAAAAATAAATAAAAATCAGTTTTGGATTTTAAACGGAAGAGTAATTAGCCTTGGATTAAGGCAATAATTACTCGTGGAGTAAGCGGATTGCGATCTGCTAACTCGTACTTGTTCTAAGTAAAGAACAAAAGGTTGGTGACCTAGAGTACGCTTTGTCTAAGCGCAACGCTACGGCAGCCCCGCTGCAGTTTAGGATCGAGGTCACGCTTGTAGCAGAACAAGACGATCGTTGTCGAAGATTTTCGGGAATAGGCTGGACACATTTGCTGAGGACCATCTGCAGATTGGCGGTTGGGGGATACGCGTTAGCCAAATGGCTATGAGTAATTTCATATCAAGTTGTGCAATTAACCAAAATTTTGTAGCGAAATACTTCCCTTTGTTTTGGTTGTGTCAGCACAGTCCATGCCGCTAGAGGTCTTACATCAGCTTTAATACATCATTTGATTCATTTTCCTGTATTCTCGATATCCACGAAGTGGGCTCGGTCTTGGTGGAATTGATTTTTACATGACTGATGGGCCTTCTTTACCGGACTTTGTAACAGAAAACACATCTTTGTATCAGTTAGATTGAGCGTCATCGGCCAAGAGCGTGACACTATGCAGAAAAGACAGGATATGCCGATACCACGGTCAGATGAAACATACATGAATATGTAGTACGAGAAAGGGTTCGCTTCGGGCTATGAACAATCCCACACATGCTGTGTATGCACTTCGTGGGACTAATCGCTACATTTTACCATTTATCGTCGCATTAAAAAAAGAGATCAAATTAGACTAGTATGCTCTAGATGTGCTAGACTTTTATGCGGGCTCACAAAGGCCGTACAACACCTCCCTTCCTGTTTATGAGCTCGTGAGCAAATCGAGCGCGAATTATTGGATGGCGACAAATCAACGTTTCAACAGACTAATGGGCTAACCATCATTTTGCTAGAAAGCACCATCTCAGATTTTTATTGTCACTTAAATGCTACAATCCAATTGATCTAGCTGCACGACTGCGAAGGTCAAAGAGATGATGAAGTCCATATCTAGATGCACATTGAGAATTCGGAAATGATCGAAACACCGCAACACCGCAACACCGCAACACGAGTCTTAAAGTACAGTTACGTGAGGGTCACCGTCTGCCTGCTTTGATGGGCAAGTATCTGTGTGGAGCAGATAATTTGTCAGCGCATCCACAAGGGGTAAGCTTGTATCTCTGAAATTGATGGGCTACCTCAGAACTGTTTGAATTTTCGAGATTCAAATTCGGCAAGATGGTTTTTGCGTCTTCACGCTTACGGCTTCGCGAACCTAAGGTAAGATCACTGACCTTACGTTCTATAGTGAACCAGTACGAGTGTAGCGGATTGCAATCCGCAACCTCCAAGAGTACACAAAATCTTAACCAAGGCAAATACATTCTTTCGTTTAAAATTGAGATTGTATTTATTTTTTTATTTGCGGCAGTGCCGCCTATATCTAAAACCTAATTCATATGCATAACTACTGACAGTCCCGCCACGAAGTGGATTCTTGTTACGGTGTAGCCACACCATGTGTGATTACACCATCTTGCGTAGCCTACACCCTTGTATGGCTTGTGTGACCCACCCCTGAACGTGTAATACAGTACTTCTCGATGAGCAGAGTGGCCCGCATAAAATTACACGTACCCTGGTATGAAAGGGTGGATTACACAAGATGGTGTGACCGTACAGAGGTGTGGATTACACAAGTTGGTGTAATCACGCATGGTGTGGCTACACCGTAACAAGAAGCCACTACGTGGCGGGGCTGCCAGTTGTCATGAATATGAATTAGGTTTTACTATATAATTAGGAAAACCTAAGTTTTAGATCTGCCGCAAATAAAATTAATAAATACAGTTTCAACTTTAAACGAAAAAATATATATGCCTTGGTTAAGGTTTCGTTTACTCGTGGGGGTTACGGACTGCGATCCGCTGCATTCGTGCTTATTCTGGTGTGAAACGTAAGGTCAGTTGCCTTAGCTTAACTTCCTCTAGGCAAAAATACTACGGCAGTTCCGCTGCAGAGCACACCCTCCTTGGATAATGGGGTAACCCGCTCATCGCCGAGTATTGGTGGCGGTAATTCTTTAGAATTTGGTAGGTGTATGATACCAATCTAATCGGAGAATATATTGGCACTCTCACCGATAATTGAGTAACCGCTTCGGTCGCGAATACCTCACTATTGGTGAAGGCTTGTTAAATATAATAAACTGCTGTACGGAAGCGGGTTTTTGATTGAAGTACGCTTAGAAAGGCAGCCACGGAAAGAGCTGAGAGTGGAGTGGAATTCAGGTGCAATGGTTGCTGATACAGCGGTCATTGTGTTTCTTTGAGAAACAAAACACATTTGAGCCCAGTGTGATTCATATCTTAGTGGAGACCGAATAAATCGGTTTATGCAATGACTACGGAAATGCGAGGTTTCATTATGAGAAATAATAAAATACATTTGTGTTTATCGAGATCTAAGCATATGTTCTTTCGTAAGTAAACTAACAGCATTAGTTATTTGAAAGGTTCTCGGTGTTGCTTCTGGTAGGAGCGCACGAATCCAATCTCTTTGCGTTTGTTCACGCGACGTCTGAAAGTCAATGCTTTCCTCTGTGCAAATCGCACCGTTACTTCGGTGCGGTCAAAGATTCCTCTGTGAAAGGTACACGGCAACCCCGTCGAACTTGTTATGCAAGTAGCCAGAAGATGTCTTGCTGCTTGATTGTAATTGTTCAATAATGTCAACAATTTTAAGTTGTCATGGTGAAGTTTTGCATGTAAACGAGTCAATCAGCACGTTCTAAACCCTCACTTTTGGGATCGGAAACCAACGGTACAAAAATTATTGCAATTATCGCAAATGAGGTGGTCCACCTTACTTCAGAAGTCAATCCAAAATCAACAAATGTACACTTTTTCTCAATGATGGAAGACGACAGCAATGGCGATACATTAATGTCGGACTTGTTGCATGTGAATAATCTCTTCGCAAGCACTTACTTGAGCGACGTTTTGTTCGTATTGTCATCTGATGTAGATAGATTGCCAACGTCTACTAGAGCAATATACGACAAGAGCTCAGATGGAGATCACCTGATTCCCGCCCATCGACTTGTGCTTTCTCTGCGTAGTGGTGCGTTCCGAATGGCGCTGTTAAGAGTCAAGAGTAGTCAAGTACCGGGTCATGTTTGTTTTCCACTCAAGATCTACGTCAAAGACACATCATATCGCATTTTCTACTCGTTGCTAAGGTTCCTCTATACGAACAAGCTGGAGTCAGACAAAGATAGCGATCAACAGAGTCAAGAAGAATTTTGGTCTCACCTATTGCGAGCTGCGTATGTGTATGTAGTCCCATCATTAGTCAATATTTGTGTCAAAAAAATGGCCAATATTTTGGAACGGAAGAATGGCAAAGTGACAAAAACAGAGAATACAAAAGCGATCACGCAACAGCACTTGCAACCGAATACACTGGATATGCTAATATTCCTGGACACAATCCTGGCAACCGATCCATCTTCTGTACGACAACGAGAACAAGTAGATACATCTTCTTCATGGACTTGTGACGTCATGCTAACACAGTGTACGAAGGCCGTGCAAGATTTGGAAACTTTATGTTTACGGCAATTGCAACACATGGAAGAATTTGCATTTGCTGACTTGTTGCAAAGTGACACGGGGCAACAATGTTCGACCTTGCGTTTATGTGAGATTCTGAGACTGCGATCTGATACGCCGTTGAATACTGCAATTCGATATCAACTTGGGCGGGTCGTCCATGAATTATTGCGACTTGGAGAGCCCTTAAATCGCATTGGTATGAATGAGACGGATTTACCACTCGTCGTGGCCTTACAGACTGGGAATAATGCAATTATTCGTCGTCTACTAGTCAATGAAGATGCCCCATATTATCTTCTTACTGATAAAATTCCATTACTCTTTTTAGCAAGTGCAAGTGGAAATGTTCAACATTGTGAAATACTTATTGAACGCAATGCTGGAGAAGTGAATCATATTTTGCAATTAAGAGACGGGGACAAGGAGATTGCAGCCGAGTTTGGGCATCACCAGACCCCACTGCATATTGCGAGTCGAAAAGGTCATAGTGCTGTGGTGAAGCTATTGCTGCAACACAAAGCTGCGTCAAACTTGCCGGATGAAGACGGCAACACAGCATTGCATTATGCGTCAAATGTTGCCACGGTTCAAGTGCTGTTGGATCGTACGTTTCGAACAAATCCGAATATTCCAAATAATAGAGGTCGGACCCCGTTACACGTTGCTGCTGCTAATGGAAATGTTTCGGTCGTGTCATATTTAATTCGTCATGATGCCGAGCAAGAGTTAGTAGACGATCAAGGGCAAAATGCTTTCCACCACGCTGCAGCAAATGGCCATACAGAAGTCATGCTTGTGTTACTTCACGCGAGTTCTGAGAAGACAATGAGGAATCAGGTGCACGTTGCTGTACCAAGCAAAACAAATATTCACAACACAACGCGAGATGACAATGTGCAAGAGGTAGAGCAACATGAAACAAGCAAGTTCGAGGATTCTGAAATCGTACAGGACTCAAATGAATTTGATATTAATCGTGAAGACTTGAAAGGCAACACTGCGTTTCATCTTGCTGCCATGTCACCATCTGATCGGTGTCAGAAGACGCTCCAAGTACTTCTTGAGAATAATGCTGATCCCAATCGCACCAATTGGTTTGGCTACACTCCACTCCATTTATTCTGTTCGCATCAGCATGGGCCCGCAAGTCTCGTACCCTCTTTTGTACGTATCCCAGAATTGCCTTGACATGGTATCAGTTGCTTATATCTAATATTTGTTGAATCTTCTCAGATTGAACATGGTGCAAATATTCACGTACAGAGTCTCGATGGTAGTACAGCGTTGCATTTAGCTGTTGGACGAGGAAGCGAAGAGGTTGCAGTTGCACTTGTGAGTGCGGGTGCGTTCGTACACTTTCTGGACGCAGCAGGTCGCAGCGTTGTGGATCTTGTAGAGAGCACGAACCAAGGAGCGTTGCTTGTACCAGTTTTACGCAACTTGTCACAATTTCCTGATTCTATTGGCGACGACCAGACGACCGAGTGTTCGGCATGCCATGCAACCTTCCGCTTAGCGATGCGCAAACATTATTGTCGTCATTGTGGACGCACAGTCTGCTACAATTGCTCGCGCAATAAAATTGCGATCCCCAAGTTTCAAGTATTGAAACCCGATAGAGTTTGTGACACATGCTATGACGTCCTAACGTTTCGGAAGGTGCTTTAAAGTTATGGAGCAACTTAAGATATTTGTGCTAGTTATTGGACTTATCATTGGTTACTATTTCTATCATAAATCGAGTGTGTGGGCAGTTAGACAAGAATATCTCGAGCAGCTTCTATGGCGAAGACGCGAGTGGGTACACAAGCCTTATCTGCACGTAATACTCCTCTTCAGGCGTCACATACAAGCGATAGTATTGTGATCTTTGCATCGCTTGTGGGTGCGACGTTGCGCTGTGTTGTCCACCCTCAGTGGCCGTGCGAAGCACTGTTAGTAGCTGCTGCTGACGCTTATCTCGCTGCGTTTCCACAGACTGAAATACCGGAATGTAATGTTGTATATCATTGTCAGAAGCAGGAGATGCTTGTAGCTGGAATGCCCATCAGCGAAAGCTGTGCTAGTGGCGACAAAGTTGAATTGGGCTTGACACTACCGCTAAATGGCAATAGTCAAAAGGATACAATTGTATCTACTACCTCTCGTGTTTATGATGTAGCTCGACAAGGAGAATTGAGCGAGTTCTGTGTGCTGTTTCACAAGCTTCCATTAGGATTTACCATGAAACGAGGACTTGAGAGTACTACTGAAGTCGGTACGATTTATCCAAAGAGTGCAGCGACGCACTTTCCACGACTTGCACCTGGTGTGACCATTGTGAGCATTGCAGGAATACAAATTGAAAACAAGGGACTTCGTCAAGTGCACGAGGTGATAAAGAATGCCGAACTTCCGCTTCGAATTTGCTTTCGAGGACCGAAGTTGCTACAGTCATTTGTGAGATCGTCGAAGGTGCTGCAGACGATGACCAGCCAGTGTCAAGAACGACAGTGCAAAGAATCTACGGATACTCGTAGTGTGCGAAGTAATGGCAGTAGTGGGAGTAGCAGTCGCAAAGGTCGGGCAAGGAAGAAACGAGAGGATTTTAATAAAGAGAATCAGCAGAGGAAGTCGAAGGACTGTATGTCTGAGACACCAGAATTGCACGACAACACACACGAATTGTATGTATCCAACGACTCAGACGACCTGCAGACAGATTCGATAACTGAAGCGCATTTGATTCGACAGATTGAGCAACTTAAGGTGCAACTTCTTTGCAAACACGAAGAAGCAAAGCAAATTGCGCGGCAACTTGAGACATGTTCGGCACAGTTGCTTGTTTTGCGTGGGGATTCTAGCAATGTGGTACCAGTGGAAGTGCACGAAACTACTACTCCTCGTTCCCGTCGTGAAGCCCCTCCTTCCAGTCATAATTTCTCTAAAGTTCGTCTGACGTCGAAAGTTTTAGAAGCGATGGATGAGAAAGCGGGGCTTCCTCGACGTGGAACTGGCGCTTACACATCTTCAAATGTGTCCTCAGTTTCTGGATATTCGTCTCAGTCTATGCCTGTTGTACGATCCACAAGTGAACGAACGCGCAGTGTGCGTGCAGTGACACATGCTATCGGGGACACAATGTCGACTTCGTCATACACTTTAAAGTCATCGATCGTGTCAGCACGTCGCAATCACTCACCACGTGGTACAGCACTTCGAAATTTAAACAAACGGTACAATTATATGCCTCCAAAATATGCTACAAGCACGATGGGGGTTGCTGAAACAGGGTCTTCGTCCCTTTCATCGCGTGGAGCTGTCATTTCGCGTGCACGGAATTCACGGAACCCCTTTTTAACAAGAAGTGAAAGTCCTGGTGTTGGTTACTACGACGTGCAAGTAAAAGATCGCGTTTTAGGCGGAGAAATTGGTGACTCGGATCGCTCACTTGCGTGGTCTTGAAGAATGAGGTAAAATCATGTGAAGAATTTGTACCGTATTGTCATACTTAATAGGATAACTGTTTGACAAGAAATATATAACATTGCGAAAGTTCTAGTTATTTGATGAATATTGCATTATTTTGATATTGAACGCATAGGAACTATCCTCACACGTACGCGATTCCCTTTTAAGCTAGAGACTTTAGACTTGTATTAAAGCAAGTCCAACCACAAGCTGCTGCGACATAAATACTTGACTACGCCCTAACAACGATTCGCACCATTACCTGGTCAAAAGTCAGCGACACCCGAAGGCGAATCGTCTCGGTCGTACAATGTTTTATTACGTGGACCAAACGTCGCTTCAAAGTGTTCCCAAAGTGCTTGAAAACATGGTGTCACTTGCTTGTCATCATACCCAGTAAGGACTGACAGCTCGTCTCGCCAGAGTGGAGTGACACCAAGAGCTTTTCGTGATGCAACAAGAATACTAGCAGCTAATACGGACGGTCGATAGACTTGAAGCGAGTATTCTTGTAATGCTAAATCCACAAAGAACTCGGCATATTTGCAGTAGTACCCATGAGCTTCATCTACTAGTTCGGCTCCTAAAAGCCGATCATCAGCGAATAATACCGTCTGGTTCATATAATGCTGTAAAAAATGCAATGGCGTCACCATGACTAATCGCCACTTCAGTCTGTACGCACACCAAAGTCAATGAGCGTGGCTACAGCTTTCGACTTACAAACGTACGCACTTTTGAAAACTATTGGCTTCTGCATCGCTAATTTCGTCATGTGAGTACATGCGATTCCCCATTTCCCAAAATTCCGCCATGGGAGGTATCTCGTCTTCTACGCCTTGAAACTTGAGTGCTAACCGTAAACAACTGAGTGCTAACAATTGAAATCGATCTTTCCGTGGTAATGGTCTCTCGCCTGTCAATATTGTCTCTAGATACCCTACACCAGTGTGTACATACTCTTTTCGCATGCGTAAATGCGTCTCTCCCACCTCAAGCATCCAGTCTACGAGCACACGACGGTATTTCAAATATTCATATTGTTTTGAGTAATCAGGTCGCACGAGCTCTTGACGTAACATGGCACGGTACACGCTGTCAACGTCACGGTCTTCTAGCGCCACCACCTAACAATAATAGCAATAATTATTGTCAAAAAATCTAAAACACACTGAACAGCAAGAAGGGGGGGAAGTAAACCAACATTCTTTTCTTCAAACGAAAGTTCTGACGTCCAAGGTACGTTCGAGACAAGACGACTAAGGACGTCATTTGTCTCGGACTCTTGTGTGCTCATGAAATCTTCGTCGTCCAGTACTTCGTCACATTCAAGACATTGTGCTTCCCACTCCATGATCTCGCAACTTCACTAGTGGTTGGCAAGGCGAAAGTCAGGGGTTGGGCGAAAAGAGTGGCAACTTTTTTTCTTATTGCCGTGTCTTCCACCGCCACAAAGTGAAAATGTGTTGGACGATAGCAATAAATTGCCCATCTGGCACAAAGTGCCAAGTGAGACCCTACTATACAAATTTCAAGTTGAATGCACTTGTCTCTAGCTCCGTCGCCCATTTATATTCAAGCCACAATCTTAAGCTTGCTCATAGTGAGTTCTCATATAGAATGGAGCAAGTTGGAGGATGTAGAAACGATGAATTAGCCCGAAGAAGGAGATAAGGAATACACTTTCAAGCCGAGAGTAGATAAGAGCAAGTTGGTGAGCGGAAACCAAGTTGTGACTTCGTGAAAAAGACAATTACATTACCTACCCCGGATATGCTGACTAAACAGTCGAGTAGTTACTTCGGTTGCACTTTTGGAAACGTTATACGGATGTAATATACTGTAGTAACTATGGTCTTACTAGTCATCCAATTGAGAGAGCATGGCTACACCACGTGCGACCCAATGCGTCTCTGGCTTGATCGTTGGCAAACGAATGAAGCAAATGAAGTTTGTTGAGTGCCCAGTAGTCGACAGCGTACCTCGTCGCTCGCTGTACAGGAAAAAAGAATGAGAACAGTTAATTTGAAACGGAATGGTGCAATAATAACGTTACTGCACCTTGTTTTGTAAACCGGACACGAATATGTCAAACGTTGACTCAAGGCCGATTTTTTTGTTGGGCGAAATAGTAATACGGGCGCGAGGGAAAATAGTACTTTCGCGTCTGATTCGACAAGTGCAGTTGAATTTTTATCCCATTTCGCACCTTCAAGATATAACCCACGTACGTAAACTCCATCCTGTCAAAAAAGAAAAACCCAACCAGTCTGATTCGTTAATCTCTTTAACTTTCAAAAAGTCTTCTTGAGCTTACCTTTGGTGGTTGTTCGTATTCAGTCTGCGGCATTGGTTCGTGGTCAAAACCCAATTGATCAATAGGTACCGTGTGTTTTCGAGCATAATTCTGACTAGCTCCAGTTAAAAAAGCTTGCGTAAAGAAAAAACCAGAGAGCCAAAACACTACGGGAGGGTCGTTCAACAGCCAATTGTTAAAATACGAAAGACGATCCAAAAGATCAGTGACGTAACTTCCAAGTGGTTTGAGCGAAGGATAGGATCTTGATGCCCAGTGAAGTGGAATTTTACCGTAAAACAAGTTATTCGAAACATTCTCAAGCTCTGCTGACATGACTACAAGACCTTTCAATGCTTTTCGTAAGCTTTCAAGACTAGATCGAATTGTCGACAGGAGGGTATTAAAGCGCACGAGTTCTTGGCACAGTACAGTGTTCATTGACTCGTCCCATCGTACGGGGTATCGAAGCTGAGCAACTTCCATGTCGTAATTTGATGGCAAACGAATCAGTATTTCGCTCGCTACTACATCAACAAGCGTTTCTTGAGATGATCCATTACTCCCTTCTTTCCCACCACTCGAACTTTCGGTTAGCAAGACATCATGACAGAGTTTCATAGAAGCATTTTGATCTTTTGTAATTGTAGCATTGTCATGAAGTCCAAAGACTCCAGGAGAAGCTACTAGAGGCAAATTCTCAATAAAGTTCAGATAGGAGTCATAGTCTCCATCATTTGGTACCGTGTATACCCCGTGTTCATCAAACGCATAGCCGTCTTCAACCACGTTCTGACAGTAGAATCTGCTAAGAAGTGACATGAGCGTCCGTCGGTCTTTATCATCCGTCACACGTCCACCATAGTTGCACTCACCAGTGCAATAATTTAACGCACGTAGTGGTAACTGCTCGTTTTCATCAATAAACATTGCTAGTTGACGAATACTGATACTCAAGTCCGACTCATTGAATTCATACGGAATGTTCCATCCTAGAGGACCAAATTGACGCCGTTCACGCACCAAAGCATGGAAAAAACATAGCGAATAAAGAAGGATTCGAAATGCAGGACCTTGTTTCACTGCGTCTAGAAATCCAATCTCAGCAATTGGATCGGATAGATACGAGCCCAACAGATTGGCTCGAAGACCTTGTGGAGGTTCATTTGTCATTTTGACTCCGTTTTGCAACACGGCGGGTGGAAACACATCCGATGGATACGTGGTACACCATAATCGAAAATCGGGGAGCGTGTTTTCAAGTGTGATGTCCTCTGCAATCTTTTCCATAACTGGCATCCAACTTGGAGCCAAGTGGCAATTCTGAAGCACAACCCACGACCCAGCCTCTCGTGCGCGTTCAATCATACGTTCGGCGATCGGACCTTGACCTTGTCCGAGTGAAATTGTCTCGATCTTTTGATGCATTGAATCGGCGAATTTCAACACCGAACTGATTGGATCGGATCCAGGGGATAAGATGAAGACTAAAGGAGACGACACACTACTATCCGTGAAGGAACGGGCCAAATCAAATGGTGGAGGCTTAACAAACTTGTCCCCCATTTCATTAGCAATGAATTGTTGAATACCAACTACGAGGAGATCTGGACGAATACATCGGAGAATCAAAAGACGATGAAACTCTAATTTTTTTCCTATTGTGCCCGGGAAGGGAAGAGTATGACCGACGGAGCTGTCATAGATAGCTTTCCATTGGTTTTCGTGATCAACCAAATCCTCAAGAATGCCGTTGAAGGCTGGTAACGTACTAAGTCTAGAAAATTCTGCCCATTGTTGGTCACTCAACCATGATTTAATTGGATTTGAAGGGGGTTCAGAGAGAGCAACACCTCCAGTGAGCAAAAAATACCATTCATTGCTTTCGATTTCATGTTTTCCTTGCTTGATGGATGTACATAACACAAAGGAAAACATGAGTTTATCTTTTTCCAGTAACGAGCGACAAATATTACGATAAAGGGAGAAAGTAAAGTGGTTGTCAAGGTAACGAAGGCGCTGCGTAAGATCTGGAGAGCGTTCGCTGTTTAAAATGCTGGCAATGAACAAATTGATGAACCATGAAAGTGAGTACTGGTATACTGGCTCAATGTTTGCAAGCTGGTCTATGCAAAAGAATAATACCTGGCTTGAGTAAGCCACAGGTTGATACCCTTGACGAACCGAATCGATCTCTAGCTCTGTCTTTTCAGCAACTTGTTGTTCTTTTTGGATGGCATCAGCAACAGTTTTACTCTGATTCATGGTATTAATTGCTTCTTCATCTTCAAGAATATTTCCTTGCGACGAAGATAAAATGGACAGAATCTTGTCTTCAATTTCTTTTAGAAGACCCTTATTTCGTACATTTTGAACAATTAATCGATGCTTTTGCTCTTCTAAATCCGGCCGCTCTTGAGCTACAACAATCCCCAAAAGCTGATCTTCCAGACCATGTGGAGTGATCATGAAATTTACTAGAGTCACTTTCACAGAGACTTCAGGTAGATAATGAGGATTCCGATACTTGGTCGTCATGTAAAACCGAAAGCTTTCGGCATACTCCACCGTAGTATCCCCGAGACGAATGCACGTGACTCCACCTTGTTTGAATGTTTGTTTCAAAAGCAAGGGTTCAAGTGACGGATCCAGCTCTTCACCAATATTCTCGAGCAATACTGGTGTACCAAATTGAACAGAGTTCTCGAGCGTTCGCATATAATCGCCATCTGTGAGTTTAATAACTTTCATTTGATTATCTTTTTCCATATTCCGAATCCATTTGTTTGCTTGTCCTTGAGGGTCAATCATTAATGGCCATCGACGGGAATTAAAGACAATAATGCCATTATCAATCGAGAACCCGTCAGTTGGAAGACCATCAAGTTTCCACTTTCGAATTTTTACAGCGTCACCGAGTGACCCATTTAGCGACGGAAAATCACTGCATGGAATCTCAAGCTGCTTACAGCGATTGACCCAGCCGTGCACAGCATCTTGTCGATAGACTGATGTAAAGGGTCCAAGATATGCAACGACTCCCGCGGAAATCAAGACGTCTCCAGTTAATCTACTGTACTGATCCACTAATTGCTCCGCAAACTCTGTCCAGCGCGTCTTTTCTCCGCCAAGACTTTCAATCAGTGTCGACGCACGCACGAGCTTTTTACCGGTCAACTCCACCTGGAACTCTAAATTTTCCTTTTGCTTTGTAGCCAAATCAAATTGCCGTTGCAATGCTGCAAGATCTTCTTCAACGTCTTTCAATTGTGTTAACTTTTCATTGAGCTTCTGCATCACTTCAGCAAGCTCTTCTTCGGCTACTCGCAGTGCCTCACGTTTAGGTGCCACAACCTTTGAGACGTTGTCATATAACGCCATTGCATGGACCCATTTGCACAAACCTGCCGCTGCTTTCGAAGCCTTTTCTGCTTTTTCGGGACTAAAATTTTCGTCGGAGATATATTTGCTAACGACAAGTTTCATGGTTTTCGGGTCCAAATTGTCCTTGTCAAACTTTTTAAGTGTCGTGATGAAAGTTGGATCGCTCAACATTTTTTGGGAAGGTCCCCAAAAGTCCATTATACGCTTAGATGGATCTTGCGGGTCGGGAATACGAGCTGGTTTAATACCTAACATGACACAAACACCTTCACATACAAACTTAACACCTGCAGGTGGATTACTCATCGCTTTCACTTCGTTTATCTCACTTGGTTTGATCGTATCCAAAGCTTTTAATGCTTCTTCTAAAGCTGGAATAGCTTCGGCTAAATCAGCCTCAACACTTGCTTTTTGGTGTTCGCACTCAGCTTTCGAAGCATCAGCCACGGCTACATCAGCTTGCACTTCACTGCGTTGAATTTCTACGCCAGGAAGCTTGGCTTTGATCTCAAACATCAACATATCGGTATCTTTTGTTGACTGATCAAGAACAGGTTGCAGATCTTCCAACTCGGCTCGCATCACCGCTACGTTGGATTCAGCAAAACTGATTTTATCCAGACCAATCACGTAACGACTCCGAGCACATTCTACAGCCTCACGCCGACGCAAAAGAAACCCCTTAAAAGCCACAATGAGCTCTAGATACGATGTCGGTGTTACATAGTTCTTACGACGTAAATTTTTTAAGAATTGATCGGAAAGTTTCGTAATGCTAACATGAAAGAATTGACAAGTATCGACGATAGCATTGCGAATGTTTACACTGTCCATTGCAACATCCGCTAAGAATTTCTCCGCCACAGCTACAAGCGCATCGGATGGCCAAGCAGTAAACCAGTCAATCGTACAGCAGTTAATTAACGACGGAAACTTGCGCAATCGATCCCGGAAAGCGTCTCCAATGGGTGAGCACGCAAGTACAATGTGTAGATTACTTCGGACTCGCTGTCGAAAAAACGCATATAATTGAGGCTGAGTCAGATTATCCCCAACAATTTTTCCCAGTTTTTCCTTCACATGAGGACGAACAGCTTCACAAAGACCGACAATTTCATCATACATGAACAAATTAGGAATCTCTCCTGAGTTGAGCATATTGTTGATATCTTCCACAAATCCATCGTACTTGATTTGAGTATCACTAAATAAAAAGACGACGGGTCGAGCTCCAGTCCCAGCGCTTCGTAGGACTGTTTTCAAGTCTTCTCGCCACTCATTCATTGTATAATTCTTTGAAATTTCAATCTGTTGAAGGTCAAAATCAACAATAAACGCCGCCAAACGCGTAAGGCTCTGTCGTCCACTCCCACCTACACCAACAAGCAGAGCATTACCACCGGGCATGTTCAAAACGCGAGCAATCCGCGATAAGTGCTCAATCGCGAATAAAAACATGACTAAATTCATCGGTTTTCGACTCATGCTGTTGTACTCGGTCAAGTATCGTTCGAAACACTGGATAAGGTGAGCGATACCATCAAAAGTTGTGTCAAGATGAACATCGACTTCTTGATACTGCCGTGGACTTGCGTTCGAAACGACGTAATTGCCAAAAAATAGATTGCGCATATCCACGTGAGTCACCGGACCTTCTTGACCACGTTTTAAACTTACAAAAACTTGATCGAAATTTGTCGCAAAGTGTTTCAGCACAATGTTCTTTTGCGTCGTACTGAACCACTCACGATCGTCCTCGTCAATTAATCGGTCCCCGATCACTCGTAATGATTCATGTACCCATACTTTGACCAAACTGGTGGTACGAAACTCGTCGTTTGGGACGACTAACATCATACCCTGTACAATTCGCGAGAAATCGCGTAAGTTGAAAGTATAATGTGACTTCTGAGGAGTCGGAAGGAGTGACATCATCGCGGATTGATACAGCTCTAAAGTGGCAGAAACTACAGTTTCGGACAATCGTGTTACCTCGGAATTGAAGGGATGAGAGCTAAAATACCAATCTAAAATCGTGGTAAAGATACGAATGAGTGTCGTGTTATCAAATTCAGAAAAGCACAGCAAGTTAAAATGTCGCAACAAGCGAGGAGTGATGTGGTTTCGTCCACCACCCGGAGGTCCCATTGCTGCAAGAACGATTGTGTCGACAATTTTGCGCCACGACATATCTTTAAGATCGTAATATCCTCCGTTATCAATGAGTTGTCGAACTAACTCAATTGGGGGCTGAGCACCGTACGCTTCAACCAATGGCATGTTAAGATCATCAACAAAGATTATTGCATTCTTGCCCACTGGTGGTCCAAACACGCCTTTCCGCCGCTTATCAACTTTTCCGTCAATGATATTTTGCGTCATATTTGCAGACGTTTTAGCTGAAAATGACAACATGATGATGGAATTTTGATCTTGAGGTAGAACTTCATTTAAAATCGACGTCATGTAGCAAGACTTGCCCGTTCCTGTTGGGCCACACACCAATATTTTCCTCTTGTTTGATACTAATAGCTGCACCAGATATTCCAATTGAGCTGTAAAGATGGTTGGTACAACAATCTGGTTGAACGGCGTATTGGGTGGAATCACATACGGCTTGAGCCTTTCTTCCCATTTGCACCATTTGGTTTCATCAAGACTAAAATAATAGTCATGCAGGTTACCGTTAATAGGCACTGGAATGGCCAAAGTGTACGTTGATTTTCCATCGTCAAACGCTGGTTTCTCCCATTTACGAACTTGGAGTGCTCGATTAATAGCGGAGAATTTTGTCTCTAGTGCCGACAAATCGTCCATAATTGCGCGAACAAAGTTACACAACTTGAGTCGACCTTCAGCATTAATGCTCTCGCTTACCGACCACGCCAATGAGAAGACGAAAAGAGATTCAATCGTTGCCTTTTTTTTTGAGCTTGCATCTCTTGGAAGTTTCGAAAGTTGTGCTTCCAAGATGTGAATGAGACTTTGAACAAGATTAGAATCAACAGTCGGTGAGAGCTCAGTTAATTCTTTTCGAACAAAAGCAATGCACGGCTCAACAAGCCACGAAAAAAGAAAAAAAATGAGCTTTCGTTGATCAAAATTGATTTCAAACGGACCGCTCACTGGCTCCTTGCTTCCGTCCCCAGCTGTAATAGTATCTAGCCACGAGTTCAAAAGGGGGGTCCAGCCTAATTGTTCCGGCTCCATATAAATCATACCACATCTGGACACAGTCGCAGGAGATGCAACAAGTAGATCCATTGGTTCAAACATCATGCTCATGACGGGACTCATGGCAATGATCTCACCACTCATCAAACACAATTTTCTATTGTCATCTAGCACTGTATTCATATTTTCAATCCAAACGGCATCAACTGGTCCATCAAACAGTAGCCACTTGCGATCTAACGATGGATTGTTGGCAAGATTTCGATAATTTATTGCAAGGACACCATCATTCCATTCGTGTGAAATAGCGTCGAACTGGCCATAGAGTTGCCCCATGGTCACTGATTTTGGATTAATAACGCTTATAGCTACGTTCGTGTATCGAGAATCGTTTGGAAATTGCTGATGCAAAGAAGCCAAAACTTCCGACAAGACTCGCCAAGCGCATGTCTTACCGGAGAACGGCATTCCAACCACCATAAATCCGTGACGAACAAGCATCATTTCGTACATTTGAATCACTTTTTCAACAAAATTTGGCACAGGTTGCAAGTTTAGTTGTTTGCAGACAAAATCGATTGTACTAAGCATATCTCGTCGGTCAGGAGGGTCAATTTTTACACCTGGAAATAGATCCGAAACAATGCCATGAAACAAAGGGACGTCTGGCGATAAAAATTTCGGTAGGTTGACATCAATGATTGACCGTAAAACCAACGTATCTTCCCGTAGATGAGCTTCTGCTCGCTTTAAGTTGCCAGCAGCTCGAAGAACAGCCATGACAGCTCTCATACCATAGTCATAGTGAGATTGGGACGATAGTTGCTCCGAACAGAGAGTATACGTTGTCGTAATCTTTTTGGATAAAGCACTAGCATCAAGATATCCATACGAATACAGCATAATCTCTGCAATCATGGCGTAATCCGGTACCATCATGGCCACTGTGCGAAAGAGTACCTTGAGGTTATCGGGCAATTCCGCTCGTCCAGCATAGCCAGGATTCATTGTAATGAACGGGCAGCACGTTGGATTTAATCGCAGTTCGGTCCCTTCAAACACAAACGTAGCAACATGTTGGGCTTTAGCCAATTGTATGCAAAGGATTTGTTGCGCAATGACTGACAACACTTCGAGCTGAATTCGATTGAATTCGTCGAAACATGCCCAAGCACCAGAACTTGCAAGTCCTTTAAAAAATTTTCCCATTGCCAGATAATCCAGACCATCCGAGCAATTTGTAACTACGCATTGTATGGCAATGGCTTTTGCTAGATCTTTCGTTGTTTCTGTCTTGCCCGTGCCAGCTGGACCTTCGGGAGCCCCCCCAAGGTTCAAGTGAATGGCCCCAGTTAGAGTTCGATAACACCTGTCGGTGAGTGGTGTAATAACTAATCGCATACTATTTCCAAGATATTCAAACGCGTATAAGGCAAGTGTATTGATCATACGACATTCCAGAGTATGAGGCTTGCCACTTGTAGCTGATACTCGTCCTTGGATCCAATAGTATCGAAGTTGAGCAAGCCAATCGAAAGCCGTTGGATCGATAATCTTAAGCTCAACTAATTCAGCAATTGTATCGCGATTGTGAACATCCATCACAACTAAAGCTCCTAAAGTTATCCGAATCAATTTTGGTAATTCACCGCGGACCATCTCAACTGTTCGCTTTAACTCTGTGCGTAGTATATCCAAGTAATTTTTAAGTGCCTTCGAGTCAGTTGCACAGTTATAAAGTGCTTTTTCACTCTGTTGCGTCCACATAGTTTGGTTAACAGCTAAAACCACTTGTCCTGGCCACTGCTGCACCCATTCTAAGCGCTCTTTGGTCGAATACTCCACTATTGATTCATCTAAATAAAACGCGACACTCTTTTTCATGGCCATTTCGACTTCTTCGAGCCAAATTTCAACATTACCGCCGGATTGAGTTGGATTTATGCGCTTTTGAGCAATTTTTTCGTAATGAAACGGTACTTTTTCCATCTCAGGACTCAACATCGCAGAAATGTCAAGATTTTTTTGAAACTCCAGCTGATTAATACCGTCAAACGCTTTCTTTAAATGGGGTTGTACGCGAAGTGGATCTTTAGTTTCAGCAAGGATTTCAAGTAGCTCATCGTTGGACAAGAAGAAAAAACGCGGAAAGTAAATTCTTTTTGTCTCCAAGTAATCATTTAGTCCTTTTTGAATTGCATCCAAGTCCAAGCTTGATTGCTGAAGACTTGGTAGCAAGTCAGATCGCTTTGCAACTGTCAATACGGCTGGAAAGGCCACTGTATCTTGCATATTGCGTCGCCAATTTGCATCCACTTTTTGAAAGAGAGCACCTTCGATTGGCATCTGACGCATAATATCTTCCGAGCTAAAAATTGGTTCCAAATACAGCCACGTAGCTTGCACTTTGATCCAATGATCCATGATATCTTGGATCGAAATGAGCATCTTCTCCCATTTCAAAATGCGTTCCAAATACGGTTTATTATATTGACTGCCACGCATCGATTGAGTTTTGACTATTTGATCATCAATTACCTGCTGAATCTCATCCGTCGAGCACAAGATCGAGGTCCCAGTAGACCTGTATGTCTTTGTCTCAAAGTTCACACCCACCCATTCGGAAGCCATTTTGTCCAGTGCTTTTTCTAACGAATATTCCTTGAATGCATTCACGCATGTTTCTTCGATCGCACTAGTATATCGATGCAATCCTAGCTCTATCATTTGATTAATATTCGACTTGCTATGGACATTCACGTGGATGCCCGTAATTCGTTCAATATCATTCCAATGTCGTTCACGCATTCCAGGGGTACATACTAACATCATCAATGGAAGGACGTTTTCAAACATATCATCGAGACGATTTTTAACTTCTTGAGCCATAGTTATTGCCACACTATATACTTCAGTATTTTGTTCACACTCTTTGAGAATTTTTCCAATTGTACGCCGGAATTGATCACAATCGCGCTCAATCTCTTCGGCATTCACGGACGCAAGTGGGGCCGAGCGACTTAATGTCATCTTGTCCATTGTCTGAGCGATTGTAGACCACAATTTGTCAATTGGACTCAACATATTGTGCAGATCGGTCAATGTTGTCTGGTTATCTGAGCCCGTTTTTTCCAGCATCGTTTCTTGCTCTTGAATCAATTCGGCCTCAGCTTCAGCTTCTTCCAAACCTTTTCGCACAGCCTCAATTCGTCGTAAGATACTGTCTGAGTCGGTTAAATTTGCGAAATTTCGCATCTTTTCAATACGTCGCTGCAGTGATACCAATTGATTCGTAAGTTGCTCTTGTTGTCCGTCAACAATAAGCTCCAGTTCATGGTGTCGCTTGCCTTGAAGCTCCATACTTTTTCTTTGAAATCCTTTGATATTCTCTGGCCATCGAAACGTTTTAAAAAAAAGTTGGATGTCTTCTCGAGTCATTTGATAATCAAACTCTTTTAAGAAATGAATATATCGACAGACATCTTCGTACACTTTAGTGTTCAGTGTATCAATAACTTTAATGCTACTGATGTAAAATTTGTGGAGAGCTTTCAGTTCGAAAGAATCGATCGGTTCCGCAATGAGAGTCGCGGCAATTTGTTCGTATTCGGTAATAAGAGTGCTCATCTTCTTTGAATTGTCTGCAGCAACTTTACTTAACAATCTCTGTGCAAGAGCCTTCATCTTGTTCGCGAGCTTAACTTTGACTTCAGCGCACGAAATTGCTAAAAGTCGAAAGCTGTACTTTTCTGAAATTTCATTTTTAAGACGAGACTCCACAAGATCAAGCTCCTTTATCTCGTTTCGATAACCTTTTAAAATATCAAACACCGTCTTGGGCTCATCTTCATCCTCACCTTGCAAAGCTTTGTCACTGCTTTCAATCAATTTCTCCAATTTAGCTTCGTATTCACCACTAATAACGAAATTGTACGGTTCAAAAAGCGCGAGAATAGCTGAAGGATCATGCATATGCTCAGCAATCAGTTCTGCCAATGTATTCTTTGCTTTTATGACAACTTTGTCATCTAACGCCATTGTACTTGGTCCGAGAGGGCGCGACTTACAAAGTTTAGGAGGAAGTCGAGTTTGACTGTCGATTCGAGGAAGCGAATGAGACGCTTCGACAATCACATCGACACAAGACGCAATCTTCTCACGCAAAACATTTGGAGAAGGGTCAATGAAAAACATAATTGAGTTTGTATCAACAATCTCGCTTGTAGTTATGCAATCGACACCAAGAAGCAAAGCCGACTCCCCTGTAAAAGTTTGATTTGAATATTGACGAATAAAGTCCACAAATTTAGTGATCGAAGTTTCTACTGACTCTCGCAAGTTCCGTGCCATTAATACTGCTGCAGCATCAAGAACACCAATGAATTGAGAATAATCTTCCGTTTCGATATCTCGAGGTGGACTATTTAGTCGAAAAAATTGCGATCGATCTTTTTCGATTGAACCTTTTCGTAAATGTTTGTGGTGAGCTTTACGCTTAGGAGAACAAGTTGTAATGGATTGAGAATTACATGCATCTTTCCGACTCAAACATCCGTTAGCAAAACTAGACATGATCGTCGGCTCGCTACTTTGAAGAGTGTAATACTGCAGTTGAAGCGCGCAGTCGTTAACTCTATCTGCTGCTGCTGTCACCCAACACGTTTTCAAGCAATCTTTCACAAGACTTGCTCGTTTAGAAATGGTATCAACGAAATGCAAGACGGTTTTTGGCAAAGTTGCTTGAAATTCTGGCCGATGGACCTCAACGAATAAAATTGTAGCATATGGTGCTCGTTTGCCAGTGGGTACAAGTTCCCATTCAGATGGAGGAGTTTCCATGATCCATTGCTCTTGAAGAGCAGAAGTGACTGGATTGATCGCAAAAAGAGTCTGGTGTAGTCGACTTCGTGCTAATTCGATCCGTTCCCTGTAAATTCCAGTGCGACGCAACACACGCCAGTCCCAAGAGCGGTACGATTCATCAACCCACCACTTCTGCTCTGCTTGTAAGTACAACGGATTAATCTGTAATCGTATGCACGTGCTCGCGTTCAAAAGATCATATTTAAGCATACTGCGAGCCACTGCTTCGTGATAATTTGCGTACATTTCTTGAGAAATTGCTGCAATCATCGCTTCACTTTGTTCATCAATTTTTTTAACAGCTTCATTATTTAATCCCGTTGGTGCTGGCACTTGCAAACGTCGAAGTATGCGGGAAGGACACTCGGAAGGCATTGGGACTGTTCTCGCTGCAATAATGTACAGATCCACGTGCTTCCAGTAATTCTCCATCGTCGTTACAAATTGTCGCTTTTCATCCTCAAACAATCGAGCATTAGTTTCCATAATCTCTAAATGTAGTGTCTTATTCTTCATATCCAGCGCAAACTGTGAACGTGGTCTGGGACTCTGGCGATTCGGTTTTGTAGGAGACGGAGATAAGAAGATGCCGCGACTGGTTTCCACATGCCGAGTGTATATTCTCGAACTATCGACGGCGCCATTGAGCTGTTGAATTAATACCTTGTCTTCTGATTCTTCGCTTAGTATGAGAGAATTTTTTACTGCTGAAGAATCTTCCAAGGAGTTGTGTTCAAGTGCGGGACACTTTGCCATGATTTTCGATGGTGAGCGTATAGAAAACTTTGCTTTTGCTACTGGCATTTCCAGTTCTCGCTTTGTGAAAGTAGAAATTTTATCAATTGTTAAAGCTCGAGCTGATTGCGTGTAGAATGCTCCAATACGATCACTAATTCGGTAGTATTCTCGATCTTCGCTAGGCTTTGGTTCCTCGTTAAGCCGAGCTTTACTACCGTTCAGAACACTACCTCGAAGCCCTCCTAACGGTCCCAAGTTCTCCAAGATTTCATTCAAAGATCCTTCAAGTCGATCACTTCGTCTCTCGCATCGATAACTTATATTGTTCGTCTGCTCTCGAAAGTCACAATTGCGAGTTTTGATTGCGCTTTGTAGCATTTTTAGGCGCGCCAATCGTACAGGACTTCGCTTCGGAGAGCCTCTCACCACATTCTTTATCAGATCCTCATTTTCTCCTTGGCCTTTCATACTCGATCTGAACGACTCGCCGTCTTTGTTCTGTTTAAAAAAGGAAACGGTGTCGTCTTAACAGGAAACCACCGATTCACCTCACAACGTGTCCCTTGCAACCTTTTCGATTCGCATCATGAAAGCCGAGGCTAAAGATGGGAACAAAAGTATGGATGCGTTGTATGCACGCCCAGACGTTATCGTGCAGTCCGACGAAGACGCGGCCATTGCTGTACGACAAGTTACCATGACGGGTGTCGTGAGTTCGAAACAGCGACGACTTTTGGACAATAGAGTAGACGTGGACATGCCGTCGTATAATTCCTGTACGCTGAAAGAATGCCTTTGTCTTGAGTACATTGCTGGTTTTCAATGCCAATTCGAGCGCATCTTTCCAACGCGACGAGCACTGTATCTTAACCCTCCGAACGAAAATGGCGTACCCAAGTTTGTATGTACAACGATCCGACCGACTTTGCTGCCGTATCGTGAACTGTACGACTGTCATACGTTAGCTCGGTTTTTGGCTGGAATGATTCAGTACGAGCCATTGGCTAATCCGTTGAATCCACCTCTGTATTTACCATCACCAACGTTCACACTTAAGTGGCAAGCAGGAGACAGTTTTGACATGGCAACACTTCTGGCATCGTTCATGATTGGGGCAGGGTATGATGCATATGTTGTCAACGGAATTGCTCCAAAATGGTTATGTCTATTGGATCAGAGCAAAACCCCTTTGCCAGATTTGCCAGTGGAGAAAGAGCTGCACACACTTTGTGATCGTATCATAGCAAACGATCGTTTGAAAGCACGAGAGAATACAAATCAAGTGCCTTTACGAAGCCGAACAACCTTTACGAGCAAGATTTTGGAGAATCAAGAATCAGAGGTAAAAGAAGTGGACAATGTTCACATTGAAGACAACTACAGAGACGATGGGGAGGAGGAAAAAGACTTCTTGGAAGGAAAGCGTGTACATGCTTGGGTGCTTGTACGAGCAGGGAGCCGTGAAGTGCCCGAGCACTTTTTCCTAGAACCCTCGACAGGACGAATGTACGCGCTTGACACCTCGCCTTACATCTTGATCGAAAGTATCTGGAACCATGAAAATTACTGGGTCAACATGCAGCAACAAGCCGTACATCTGACACGATTTGACTTGTCAAACTCAAGTGATTGGGAGTATGCAATCTTATCGATAGCTGAGCGAAAAGTGGAAGCGGAGGCCGATCAAGACGCAAAAGGAGGAAGCAACCTCTCGAATGATCTAGAGATTCTGAGTACAAAACTTGATGATCAGCTGGGAATTGAGGCTACAGACAATGATCTTATCCTTGATATTCCTCCGTCGTGGGTGCACAAGCTTCAGATTGATCGTGCAACATTCAAGAAGAAGTTTGTACAAAATAGTCAGCAAATTACACTTTTTCATCGTGCTAAAGTGGAAGAATTTGCTGAAGGCACTCACGAACAGGGTTTGGTTGTACGAGTGACCCTTTTTCGGGACGAAGAGTACACTTTACCCATTGAAATTCGAGAATATTTTCAAAATCGAAAGGATCGACTCGAATCGCGTTTCCGGTTCCCTTTTGAAGGGAAGTTTGAAGAATTTTTTGCGGCAGGAAGAAATCCAGATGCACTTCAATCGCGCACGGAATGGTTAGGATATCGTCGAGACTTTCACTTTTATACTGATGCTCGATCTGATGGTCTTGTGACACGTCAAGAGGAAATTCAAAAGCGTGTTGTCGAACACTTTGACAAACGTGACGACTTTCTTTGCTTTCGATCCGTGACACTTGCATCAGAAAACGAGAAAATAGATGCCAGGAATCCATACATTTTGCCAGGCGGTCCTACAGGTGAAATTGGCATTAGAAGTATGAAAGAGAAATTTGCGCGGAATATGAAACTTGTAGCTGATGAAGATCAGCGCAAACGTGCGTACAATGTCCGCGAAGGTTCAATTCAAGTATTCTTTCATTACGCTGAAGGAAAGATAACCGCCAGCTCGCGTACGTATCACAAAGCTCCGAATGTTCCGATTGAAGTTGTCATGGCAGATCCAACCTCAAGAAAGCCAAAACTTTCAGTGCTTGAAGACGAGATGCGAACATTTTTGCAGGTATGTCGATCGTAAAGCGTTGACATTCAATCATCTAATGTAGTATCGTAGACGGAGAAAGACTGTTACAATGCCATTCGCCGTTCTGACATTGAAACGCAAGATATCTTAAAAACTCGAAAACGTGAAGAAAGTGCGATCGTATTAGAGACAAATGTATTTGATCAAAACGAGCACGAGGTTCAAGATCAAGACAAAGAAGATGTCCAAGAGCTCGAGATGGTACAGTGTTATGTGTGGCCCGCGTAAATCTTTACCTCATTCGTTATTTTTCAATAGGTGCAAAATGAAGTCGATTACCTTAGTCCATTCTTGCCAAGCGGGTATGCTACGGAAAAGATTTTGACGAAAGAGGAGGCTCAAGCTGTACGCGACCTTTGTCTACGTAATCTGAAAGAGCGATTATTAGAGCGCGCAAATATCATTCAAGGACGACTGAATAAAGAAAATTCGCAGCTTGCAAAGCGTCAAGCCGCTTATCAACGTAGTCAACGGGAGCATATCGAGGATCCAGACGACGATTTCGAACGCTTTTGCAGTGACACAATGTTTCGCATTCAGATCCTAGAGCAACGGCTAACGAGACATGAGGAGACGGCACTGCTTAAATACGCGGAGATGGACAAACGGTTGAATAGTGACCCGCGTTTGCGTGTGCTGCATCGATAAAAAGTGAAGTTCTTGGTCGATTTATTCAGGTTACACATGCAGGTAGGACATTCATACATTGTCATAAGATACCTGGGCCAAATTTCCTCACAAACCTTGCAACCGACTAACTTTGAAGAAGCCTAATAGTCCTCGTCACCACCGAACATATCCATGCCACCACCCATGTCAACTTCTTCTTCTTCCTCAACGACCTTCTCCTCCTTCTTAGCAGGAACAGCGTCACCAGCAGAAGTGCTAGCAGCGGGAGCCGCACCTAAAACATGATGAGAGCTGTAAGCAAATGCTAGCAAAGAAAAATAAATTCAATTGCAATTATTGTACCAGCTGAAGGGCCAGCAAGGAACTTCTCAACGTCCAGGCCACGGTTGAGTAAATCGGCAAAGAGTGGAGCCACATAAGCAGCCACGTCGTTGCCCGAAGCCTTGAAAGTTTGGTTCAACGCGTCAGCAGTGATCTCGACACCAGCGTCGTAAAGCGCTAAAATAGCCAAAGAGGCGGCGTATTCGTCACGCTGGGTCTTACTTAGATCGGCGAAAGACATGGTGCGTCAGGAAAGAGTGAACTGAATCGGTTTAAGCTCGAGAGCAGAAGGCAGTTTGGGCATGCCAGAGGCGACAATTAAACGGAAATGACTGGTTCCCATAGGGCGACTTAATATAAGCCAGTAGAAGTGCGCGGTGAGGGAGCCTTTAATAGAAAAGAATCCTGACAACGAGCCAGAACTAATATTTTAGTATAAGTGATAATTTGTTTACTGTGGGGTGGAATTGTATTCAATGATTTTGTGCTGAGTGACAAAATTAGTTGTAGAAACTAGGAGAATTAATACAACCACCGGTTGGTGAGTGAATCAGACGCTTTCATATCCACAAATGTATATGCTGCAATAGTACGAAAAATCTATCTAGACTACAGCTAAAAGTAAACGTTGTATTACCTCTCACATGTAGACTGTTTTCTTTTCTCACGTGCGGCTAGCAGCTCACGTATACCACCGACCCTCCATCTCGGATATCAATTATCTGCAAAATATTGTATTCCGATACTTACGAATTTTCACGATTACACCAGTCTAGTGGAACTATCGTGAAATTGTACAATAAAGTGACCAATACAATTGTACTAATTGTGTGAGGGCAGAGTACACAAGATTACACTATTTACCTTGTTACACCCTCCCCACAAAAATGCAAGCCACACAGGTTTAGATTGCTTTGGTCTTTTGAAGTCATTGCGCAAAAGTGGCCGCTTTACAGACAGCCACTGCGCCGCAAGTTTTACTCCATTCTCTGCGTTTCACCGTGCCTGCTCTATCTAAGCTTGTTTTAACCGGAAGTCCGCTCTTTTGTGTCAAGTGAGGTGGCTCCACGAGCCCCACCCTAATACGCGGTATCGCGATCGACGCGCTTAAAATTCTTGGCACTCAAAAGTCTTGGCGTTTTTTCTGATGAGAGTAAAACAAGTGACTCAATGAGTCCCGAAAGAAAACCTCCATCCACATTTGGCGATACTTGACCAAGCCGTCTCATGGAGAAAGAGCTCACCGCGCTTACTCTCACTGCTGCGTGATTCTTGAACTCCGCGCTTTTTCCATCGACGGGAAGTGTTACCGTAAAGTTCATGACAATGGTCAGTTCGTAACTAACGAACTGAATTGTCTCAACAAGCCCAGTTTGCTTTCTGTTCGCGCAAGATTCACGTCAGTTCTTTCTCGAATCATGTTGTCGTTACGGGTCCAAACCACTCGAAGTCACCCGCCGCTCTAGCTAGGCGTGGAAGCCTTCCCCCATATTCTAGGCAGGATTATTCCAAAGTTGCATTCTAGGCAGGCGCTTTCTCTACCTACACCGCATCACTCTTCGGGAGTGTCTGCCCTTGGAACAGAAGCCGGTTAGGAAATCTCGGCCCGATGAGGTGTAGATTTTGCTGGCGAGAGTGTTAGTGTTGGACTCAGTTTGTTCACTGGCTGGAGACACGTCATACCCGAAGGCTCTCCCACAAAAAAAATTGATGAAGCAAACATTCGTCCGGAATGTCGTCTCATGTATGGCAATGCAAAGTAGAAGCGATACCCATCACCTCAACCTCCTGCTGCTGATAGCCCCGCGTTGCTAGGGGCAGCTGTAACAGCGACTAGCTTAGAATCGCTCTCACAGCAAGGTTAGTTGCCTCCAAAAACTGAATAGCGCGATGCGACGAGCGATCCTGCCTCTTCACCATGGTAGGTAATTGCCGAGAGTGGTAACATCCTCGATTTACTCGCCAATCCATTAGGTGTTTCACGTATGAGTTGGCCACCCCATCTCACCTAGGTAATGGGGTTTCACGTGCCCAGGGATGAAAGGGTGTGGGTTACACAAGATGCTGCGATCACACAGTTGTGTAGGTTACATAAGAAGCTGTGAGCATAAAATGGTGTGGCTACACTTAAACAACAAGTCAGTACGTGGCCTGAATAGCCAGTAGTTATACATTCAATTATGTTTTACTGTATAGATTAGAAAACCTAGAGATTTAGATAAAGTTTTGCCGCAGGAAAAACCAAAAATACAGTTTAGATTTTAACGGAAAAACTAATTAGCCTTGGTGTAGGGTTTGAAGCAAATCGAATAATGAATTAGTGGTTAACAAAAGAAAACTATCTC